GTCTGTGCCCCGCATGACCCCCCATGGCTGCAGGGCACAACTGGCCTCGCTGTGGGTGCACCACAGGCTGCCAGGGATTTTCTGCTCCAGGCCTGGAGCATCTCCTGTGCCCCTTCCCCCTCAGCTGAGGCTGTGCAGGGTGTTGCTCTCACATCCTCCTCCTCTCTCCGCCTGTGGCGCGGTGTTTTTCACCCTTCCGATACGTTACCCCCGAGGTACTGCCAGCACTGCTGATGGCCTTGGCCGTGGCCAGCTGCGGGTCTGCCTCAGAGCCTTCTCTGTCCCATGTGGGTGCCGCTCCTCGTGTCCCCTCACAACAGCCACCTCCGTAGCCCCCCTGCTACAAAAACCTTGACACGCAAGCCCAATACAATTTCTGTCCCACTTACCACCCCTCAGCCTGCGGCGTGAGCCCAGATCGATATCTCTCCAGAGTGTTTCGTGCTGCGGCTTTTTCGTTGCCATGGGAAGTTGGAGCAGCCAGGGAGATGCAGCGCAAAACAAGGAGCTCATGCTTCCCCCAGAGGGAAAGGCGGATAGTGTTGACGTCCCGCTCTCGCCTGCAGGTTACGACTGTCCGGCTACCCAAGGGATCTTTGAGTATGCGGCAGCCGTGGGAGGAGCCACCATCACCGCAGCCCAGTGCCTGCTGGAGGGCAAGTGCAAGGTAGCGATTAACTGGCCTGGAGGGTGGCATCATGCAAAGAAGTAAGAAAACAATCCCTTCCCTCGTGTTTTCTCACCTGGTGTGTGAACCCCGCCTCCCAGCTTCCTGCAAACCCTCAGTGCCGGGTATGGCTGGCAGAGAGCACGTCGGGGGGGGGGCGAGGGACGCTGGTGCCCAGTGGCAGAGCAGCAGTGCAGGGCAGAGGCCTGACCGGTGGCTGGTTGTGGCCAGTGGTTACCCATAACCTGGTGTGGCCCCGGGCTGCCGTGCAGGCTGGGGCGGATGAAGCCAGGGCATCTGGCTGTCCCGTGACACGCGGTCACCTCCGGGAGCTCGAGTGAGAGTTGGTTTTTGCAGAGTCCCTAGAGAAGGGCTGTGGAGAGACAGCGGGTTCGTGTTGCTCCCAGCTTGGAGGAGAACAGGAACATGGACGTGTCCAGGCTGGTTTGTGGGGCTTCCCTGGTTTCTCAGTACGAGGTCAGAGGCAGAGCAGGACTGGCCTCTGGCTTTCCCCCCATGCTCTGTTTGCTCTGAGCTGTAATGGCAATAATGTCTTCCAGAACAGCAGGAGAGAGAGGAACAAATTCATCCCTGAATCCCGTGATTCTGTAGCGGCAAAATCATTTGTTTCCATGGTTTCTGTTTTCCACGGACGTACATTTTATGGCATGTCTCCCATCTCCCAGAACATGAGGTCTGTCTGCAGGTCAGAAAAACCCCACCTCCCGTGTCCCCCGCTGACCGGCCACTGCGGTGCCTGTTTCCCTGGGAGTCCCCAGCCCAGCACGGGCCACCCACGCGGTGTCTGAGGGCGCAGCGCTCCGAGCGTGCAGGGAAATGCCGGAGGAGGAGCAGCGGGCTGTGAGCTTCAGCCGCTGTGGTGCCAGGCCCCTTTCCCTGCGCTGCTGGGGCTCTGGCTGGGTCGTACTGAGAGGGAGAGTTCTGGTGGCCAAGCTGAGCCCCCGTGCTCCTGGCGTCTTGCCAATCTTGCCTTTTGTCTGGGCTGCGGGGTATAAGGTGCCCCTAACAGAAGGGGTCTCAGCGGCGTAGCTGGTGCTGAGCTGTGCTGTTAGTGCGGCTCCAGGAACAAAGTCTGGTTCAAAATGGTGTTAAACACTCTCCGATCCCAAAGGAGCCTCCCAGCCACCCCAGGGATG